GATCGATCAGAGAAAAAGTTTGATTGATCAGAGAAAGTTCGATCAATCCAACTTTGATTTTCGATCGATCCAACTTTGATCGATCTCAAAAAAAGCGATCGATCTCAGAAAAAGTTGGATCGATCCAACTTGGCAGATTTTCAGCATCAGCCTATTTTTGCTCCAAATCAGCCTCTTTTTGCTCCGGATCATCACTAAGACTTAGTTTGACTCCAAAAAGGCCTTAAGAAACCATTTTTAGCCCATTTTAACATTATTGACATAAAATAGACAAAAACACAAATAAGTACTAAAATGGGAAAATAAGATAGATAAAGGTCCTAGAACACTCAAGCTTAAGGGGTTTAAAAGCACACTTTTCAGCCCTCATCAATCCACCACAGAACTAAGAGAACTTGAAGAACATTTTGAGTGTATTTTTGTTGAATTTGAACTTATTTTGTAAAGTATATGATGTAAAAATGTATTAAATTCATTTAGTATGTAAAGGATAATGTAATTAGAAGCTTGAAATCCATTTTGATGTAAGTTGTTCATGATGTAAAGTCTCCATTTTAGCTTCCCTTTCATTTTCATATCACAGTAGGTTAAGTTCAGGACCATGACTCGAATGACCTATTTCGGTCGACCGAAATGGCTCATCGATACCATTTACAGCTCTCGAGATCTCTATTTCGGTCGACCGAAATAGGGTTCGGTCAATCGAACCTTTCACATGCTCTCAGTATCTCACTTTCGGTCGACCGAAGGGTTATTTCGGTTGACCGGTTCTTGATGGCCTGCTTCAGCCGACCGAAGCTCCACTTCGGTCGACCGAAGTGCATCTGCTTTGGGGTTCTTTGCTCTTTCCTCTTCGGTATCCCACTTGTAACCTCTGATTATTGTGTTGAAACCATGTGACAACATAGGGATGGTCCTAAGGGTGATATTTTGACGCTTGAAATGATATGATTGACGTGTATGACCTCGGGTTCGAGTAAGGACCCGGCTAACGGTTCGGACCTCCGGGTCCGGGTCGTGATAACATTATTCTTTGCTTTATACACCCATTTGACACCAATTGCCTTTTGCTCTTTTAGAAGTGTAGTAAGCTCCCATGTGTCATTCTTCTCTATGGATTTAATTTCTTCATCCATAGCATTTCTCCATTTTTTGTCTTGTGCCGCCTCTTCAAATCCTACGGGTTCACAATCCGCAAAGAGATAAAAAAGTGTTAGATCACCTAACATTTCCGTTACCTCATCTGTTTCGTCATATATGTCCTGAAGACTCCTCATGCGAAGTGGTGGTGTGTCACTTAAACTTGATGATGATGGAGTTGATTGATCTTGAATTGATAGTGGTGGAGGTGATGTTGGTGGAGAAATGGGCTGCTCCATGCCTTCATTTTCTTGCTCCTCGTCAGAAATTGGAAAAATATTATAATCTTCATTTGGAGTGTTCCAATCCCATGTGGCTTCCTCTTCGAATTCAACATCTCTACTAATGACAATCTTCCCATTGCTTAGATTGTACAACTTGTAGCCTTTGGAACTTGCATCATAGCCAATGAACACCGTTTTTTCACTTTTGTTGTCTAACTTGGTCCTCCTTTCATCCGGCACATGCACATGGGCAATGCTCCCAAAAACCCGCAAATGAGAGACACTTGGCTTTCTTCCGCTCCATGTTTCTTGTGGTGTTTTGTTTTGCACACTTCTAGTAGGACACCGGTTGGACAAGTACACCACACAATCAACCGCTTCAGTCCAAAATTCTTTAGGCATTTCCTTGCTTTTCAACATGTTTCGAGCCATATTGAGAATGGTTCTGTTCTTCCTTTCTGCAATTCCATTTTGTTTGGCGATTTCGGGACCGTTAAGGATAGTGAATTCCATTTTCTTCACAAATTTTTTTGAAATTATTTGATGTGGATCGAATAGCCTTTACATCATAGCCACTTTGTTTTTCAACAAGTGCTTTAAATTTCTTAAAAATTCCATACACCTTCGATTTTTGTTTAAGAAAGTACACCCATATTTTTCGGCTAAAATCATCAATGAATAATAAAAAATAATTATTCTTACCAAATGATGATGGAGAAATTGGACCACAAACATCCGAATGGATAAGTTGTAGTGGTGCCGTAGCTCTTGTGGTAGCTTATTTAAAAAAACTTTTCCTTGATTGCTTTCCAACGAGACATCCTTCACATAATTGATTTGGATTGCTAATGAAAGGAAATCCTTTCACCATCTTCTTTTTGGCCAATAATTCTAATCCTCCAAAATTCAAGTGCCCAAGTCTCAAGTGCCAAAGCCAAGTCAAGTCATTAAAACAAGCCTTCAAACATTTAGCCTCTTCGGCTTGAATATTTAGCAAAAACATCTGGTTCTTTGTCATTAGAACCTTGGCAATTAAATTATCCAATGGGTCTCTATTCGAAAGACTACAATCTTTCATGGAAATATTGTAGCCTTTTTCTAAGAGTTGTCCCAAACTCAAAATATTGTTCTTCATATTAGGTACATAATAAACATTAGAGATAAATTGATGATGCCCATTCCTCAAACGAATCAATATTTTACCTTTCCCTCTTAACGGAATTTGTGATAAGTCTCCAAATGTCACCTTGCCATTTATTGATTCATCAATATCAACGAACTTCTCTTTGCTACCACACATATGGTTGCTAGCACCGGTGTCAAGATACCACATTTCTTCTTGATCACTCCTTTCACCTTTGTATGCCAACAACAAAGTTGGTTCCACTTCTTCATCAACAAAATTAGCCTTTTCTTCAATATTTTTAGCAACATTTTTACATTCCGAAGCATAATGACCATCCTTTTGACAATTGTAACATTGAATTTGAGACTTATCATACCTTCTTTCATATGACCTTGAGTAATTTCCTTTACCACGACCTCTTTTTTGTTGTGAGTCATGGATTTTTTTTTCATTGTTGGTTGTGTGTTGACTGCTTCTTTCTCCTCTTTCACGGCCTCTTCCTCTTCCTCGGCCACGTGCATTTCCACGTCCTCGGCCCCTTTGATTTCTTCCATGTTTTTTGTCTCTTTCGTTCAACGAAAACTTTGTTTGTAGCACTTGCTCCAAAGCTTCTTGTTTCTTCACCACCTTTTCTTCATGAGCTTGCAACGATGACCCATGAATTGATCAACAGTCATGGAATCCAAATCCTTTGACTCTTCAATGGCTACAACAATGTAGTTGAATTTGGAATCCAACGACCGAATGATCTTTTCAACGACCCTTGAATCAGTCATGGTGGTTTCGCCATATCTTCTTAGTTAATTTACAATAGCCAGGACCCTCAAAAAATAATCTGAAATTGATTCAGATTCCTTCATATGCAATGCTTCAAATTCACCCCGTAACATTTGGAGGCGAACCTTCTTCACTTTATTAACTCCTTGGAAGGAATTTTGAATAATCTCCCATAGTTGCTTTGCATTTTCTGCACTAGTAACTCTTTGTAGCATTCCATGATCCAAACATTGATGGATGGGCATCACCGCCTTTTGGTCCTTCTTTCTCATGGCTTGTAAAACATCTTTTTCGGCTTGAGACAAAGTTGCCTCATCTTCTGGCTCATCATAACCTTTGGAAACAATTTCCCACACATCTTGTACTCCCAAAATTGCCTTCATACAGATACACCAATTTTCATAGTTATCTTTGGTGAATTGAGACATTTGAAATGGAACCGAATTGTTTGCCATTTCTTCTCTCTCACAAACTAGCTCTGATATCACTTTGTTGGAAATAGTGGCCTAGTTACACACACAACACTATACTATTTGGAAGAGAATAAAATGAAAGAAAACACTTTTTATTTCATTTGATTAAAAATGGGTACAATACATGGGTTTATATAGGCTTCAAAATATAAATGTAAATCAAAATTAACACCCCATTAACATATCATTTAGTAGGCAAAACTCCCACTAACCCACTAACATGACCATTACTAGTTGTAACTCTTATGCCCCCAACTAACTCTAATAAAAAAATTCACATAAATATAAACCACTAAATAAAAAAACACCCATGACTTACAAAAATATTTTAAAATATAATAAAGTTTAATTTCTAACACATGTGTCCAAAACCCATTAAATGTTACCCATGAAAAATAAAACACAAAGAAGAGAAAGTCACTACAGAGATCCAAACACCTGGATATTGCCCACAAAAAAACAAAAACATAAGAAAAGAAACTTGACACCCTTGAGGGGAGAGAAAGGAAGAGATGAGGGTATTTTCGACATGAAGAGCATAACGAGTGGTTGTACCCATCACATGTTGGCTTGAGGGGCATTTTTGACATAAAATGATTAAATAAGAGCAAGGGATAGACACCCGTCCATTTGGTTGACAATTTAACAAAAATGGGGCAGTGTTATAACATTTTTGTAATTGAGGAGTGTTCAATGTTAGTGGAGATTTTTTGTACGATTTTATCCCTTAAAAAAGTTAATGTTGGAGATCAACAAATAATCATTGGGTTAAAAAAGAAGGAAGGTAGAGAAGACAAATAAAATTATAGGCAAATATAAAACTGAGAGAAGAAAATTAGATTAAAAGAAATAGAGAGAGAGGCAAGAAGATGATAAAATAACTTTTTTTTATTAAAATATTATAGATTATACAATTAGATAATACTCTATGTATAATATAACATATGTTATATGATAATGTTGTATAAAATTATTATTTTAAGTCATATTCAATTATCCAGCTAACAAATTATCAAATTCATAACTTCAACACAACCCATCAAATTGAATGTTGGAATCCATATATATCGTTATCATGTTGAACTCATTCGATCATTATGCAGGTGGTTGAGGACACTTAAAATCTCTCAAAAAGACAATTTAAACCCTTATTTTTTGGAATTAAATAATTTCTAAATTGAACAGGTAAATATCCAAGTAAAATGACCAATTTAGCCTCCAGAGATTAACCACTAGGAAGTGGGGTTACTCATGGGTTCGAGCCAAAAAAGAGATCTCTAGCTCGAGGCGGTTCGATGCTCATTGATCACACATCAAATGGGGGTCTCAAAAAGCCTGTGAAATTTTTCTGATTGATTGGTTTGGGAAATTTCTAACACTCACCGATTCTCTCGCTCCTCGTGATGACCGATTTTCCCGCCCATCCGGTCGTACAACACAAAGCTATGGTATGCTATGAACCCTTCTCTTCTCTCTCTCTCTGTTCTTTTTTGTTGTCTGTAATTGGCAAAGCAATCTATCCGTCCCACATTTCAGAGAGTTGGATTACACGCATCTTCAAGTTATTCTTTTGATTTCCTCATCTGGGTAATTTTTATATTTGGCCTTCCTTTATCCTTTGTCGATACAATATATCATTTCTCATTCTATCTCAACTAGGGTTTTCTTTTCATAAAGTGTGTGAATCAGAAATTGTTATTTTTTATGATTTTAAAATTGGGTCGCGTTAATTCTGGTGATTTTTTTATGGGTTCGTACTATATTTCAATGGCCCGTGTTGTTGATGACTCTAATTCTGGTTAATTTTCTGTACTTATTATTGTTATTTTTTTTATGGATTGTACTCATTTTCAAGTTATTGTTTTGATTTCCTTATCTGGGTAATTTTTATATTTAGTGTCACTTTTATCCTTTTTGATTCAATGCTTCATTTCTCATGTTATCTGAACTAGGGTTTTCTTTTCATAAAGTGTGTGCACCAGAAACGGTTGTTTTCTTGTTAATTTTTATGATTTAAAACTGGGTCGCGTTACTTCTGCTGAAATTTTTATGGGTTGTACTATTTTTCAATGACCCATGTTGTTGATGACTCTTATTTTGGTTAATTTTCCGGACTTAATTTTTTTATTTTTTTTATGGGTTGTTCTAATTTTCAAGTTATTCTTTTGATTTCCTCATCTGGGTAATTTTTATATTTAGTGTTCCTTTACCATTTTTGATCCAATACAGCATTTCTCTCATGTTATCTGAACTAGGGTTTTCTTTGAAGAAGTGGTTCGTGTTTATTCTGCTGAATTTTTTATGGGTTGTACTATTTTTCAATGACCCGTGTTGTTGATGACTCTAATTCTGCTTTTTTATTATTTTTTTATACTGATACTTCATGTTTGTGCAGTGTATTTAAAAAGCTTCTTCCAAAATGTTTCTGTTAAAAATGGGATTATAAAATATTGATGAATGTGATGATCTTTTGGCTTGGTTTCAAATTGGTATGGGTGGTTAGAAGGGTGGAAGAAACTAAGTTTGTCAATGAAAATGCAGAATGGGACGGGTCAAGCTAAAGATAAAGAGATTGGAGAATATTAATGGCCGCCAATCAACCTATGCGAAAAGGAAGAATGGAATCATTAAAAAGGCTAATGAGTTGTCCATATTATGTGATATTGACATTGTTCTTATCATGTTTTCGCCAAGTGGCAAGCCTACGATATGTAAAGCAAAGAACAGGTACTCTTTTATCTTTATTTTTAGTTTTACCTGTTCACGCATACAATTTGTATTAGTGAATCTTGAGCCAGCTGATAATCAAGCCTAAAGGAGGCAAAGCATGAGTTTGAGTTTATACGGCATAAAGAATGCTTAGTCATTATGTGAGGACAGATAGCGTGGTATCGAGAAAGCTTAATTATTTTGGGGAGAACCAGTAATGTGGTATAGAGAAATCTAGTCATTTTTCTGAAGAACCATTACGTCATGCTTGTCTCTAAGTTGTTTGTTTGGTCATGTTCCTCAGTTGCACAGCTTATAGTAATCGCATAATTTCTGAGGCAAGTTTAGATTGCCTCATAGGTACTGTCTCAAAGCAGTACATGTTGAAGGACAATGCACAGAGTGAGTAATAAGTTTGAGGAAGCAAGCAAAAAAGGGAGAATTATAAAACCAGATGCAGAATTGTTGTCTTACCATATTAAGAAGTGAGGTTGACAATTGGTCATCATTAACTCTTCATTTGCTACTATCTTTAGCATGTACTCGTAAAATAGATTGCATGCCTGCTTTTCTTCCATTTGGCAAATGATACATGATGTGATTTGAACCTTCAAGTCCTATCCAAAACAAACTTAAGTTATGACTTGTCTAAGATGCCAATAGCAGTATCAGCCTCTTACTTCCCAAAGGGAGGTCAGGAGTTCAAGTCTCAGAAGAGACAAGTGTATGTGAACGCCAACTAGGAAAAAAAAAAAGATGCCAATAGCGCGCTTGCACTCAGATGATTGCAACTTTAAAAAATGCAAACAGTACATAAGTAATGTCTGAAGATCAAGCTTGGAATATAACTGCCTATACAAATTAGGGTAGGGAATAGCATGAGGAAACTTCAAATTGAAAGCTAATAGGATACGAGAGCTAAATTTCTGGCTATGGTAGGTTTCATAAAGTAGTAAAATTAGATGTGTTATCCATGCAAGGATTAGACTCGGGTTCCGTGTCTTAACATTTAATCATAACATCAACTATTAACTTGTCAAAAAAAAAAAAAAAAAGAAAGAAAAGAAAAAAGAAAATGAAGCTATTTTGAAAATTTTATTTTAAAGAAATTTATTCACAAATTTGAGAGCTATATAAGCCTGCTTGAATATAATCTTTAAACACGACTGTCATCTTGCAATAACTAAGAGATTCTCTAACACTTAATATGTGTATACTAGCATTATAGTCAATAAATGTGCCACAATATTTTTATACACTGGCAAACTAATGTTGCCCTTAAAGGCTTTTATGCACATTGGTTACCTAACAATCCTACATTTATGCAGAATCTGCCATAAGAAATAAAGTAAACAAAGGGCACGAGTGTCATTTGCTGGACAATATAATTGCAAAGTAGGTTAGGTAGTGATAGTCATTCACCAATCTGGAAACAATTAATAAGCTAACTCGGGTCCTAAGGCTGTCATTTGCCATGCTATGCTTTCTTTATTTTTTAGTAACTCTATTTGTTAAGTGTCAAATTGATTTGAAGGGAGTGAAGAGGGCATCTACGGTGTCACTATTAAATGATTTAATTTTTAATTTTTGTTTATTTTTATTTTTATTTTTTTACTGTTGCTATCACAATTGTTATTGATACTATAATTATTGATACTGCTATTATACCTAAGCCCTTTTTTCGCCCTTCCTTCCAGTAGTATTGAAGGGGTTATCACAAAGTTTGCACAATTAACTCCACAAGAAAGGGCAAAAAGGTATTACCATTTTTCCCCTTTTGAAGAGTCAAGTATTTTCCCATCTACTATCTGGGTTAAATATAAATTTAGCTGGAACTAAATTGTCTCTTACTATCTGAACAGGAAGTTGGAGAGCCTTGAAGTAAGCTCATCTTGTACAGCCTATTCTTCTCCACTGAATTGTTCAATTTTAATTTTATTTATTTATTTATATGTGCATCACGATCTCTCTTACTCATTTATATAAGTTTTTCTTTTCTCTTCGAGAGTCTAGGCATTAAAGAAAACCTTTAAGAAGTTGGATCATGATGTAAATATACAAGATTTTATTGGTACTAGGTACGTGGCAATTTTGTACAGTTGATGCAACTTCTGAATAGAACATCTTAGGTTGAGTATTTTATCCTGAATATGTTATAATTGTCATTTTGTTTATGCTGCAGTTATCAATCAGTTGAGGTATGCCTGCAAACAGTTTCTACCACTGGTATATTTAATAATTTAAGATTCTTTGGGTCAGGTATTGATAACAGTAATATGTTTTGCATTTCTTAATTTGCTTTGAGCAGGATTTGACCAATAGAACAAAGTTACTCCGAAATCAACTTTCAGAAGTCCAGAACAGACTGAGGTGAAAATCTGGAAATTTTGGTTATGAAGTTGTGTTTTTCAATTTCATGAATCATAGAAGTTGCATTTGATATTCTTGTCTTTATTATGTTACTTATTGAGAGTTTTCTATGAGATCTACTGTTTTATTATCTTTAGGTTCTTATTTGGTCAACTTTTGTGATACAGTCGATGTATACACACACACACGCCAAAAAAAAAATCATGTGAATTTGGAAGTCACAGATAGCATCACCTGATGCATGTAAACTTCTTTTTCTCTTCTGTTCTTATATCTTTTATCAACCCGGGGACTTAAGATGATATATCAAGAATTAGGTGGTGGAATTTAAAAGAGGAGAAATAAAAATATTTTAAGAATAAGATGTAAGAAATTTAGAAGATGTGACTAATAAAATTTTGAATAAGATGTCTGAATGTATTAAAAGAATATCAAAAGAGGTTCTTGGAGAATCAAAGATGGAGAAAAGAGTATCTATAAACTTGCTAAGACCAGGGAGAGAGAGGCTAGAGATTTTAATTGTATTTAGTGTATCATAAGTAAGGATTTAAGGGTCTTCGTGAAAGATGATGAAATTAGAGAAGGAAAGTTACTTTGAGAAGTTACTTGAAAATCATATCAGAGCTTAAATTTAAAAGAAGATGGTAAGTTGGTAACCTAGGGGGATTAATGAAAATTTCCAAGATTGAGTGTGCGAGGCAAAAATGTATTGACTCATTGATAAATGCAGAAGAGCTATAGGACCAAATTACACCCCTATTGAGATTTGAAAGTGTTTAGAAATAATGTTGGATGATTGGTACAAAAGTATTTTAGTACTTACATATTAGGCATCCAAATAATGAGTCATGCTAATAAATTCTGGAGAATGCTTGAACAAGGGACAAGACTGTAAGACATGAAACAACAAGCCAGAAAACCATTTTAGATTTATGTCGAGGAAGTCAACGATGGAAGTTAATTACTTACTGAAAAGACTAACAAAACTTTATAAAGAAAGATAGTCATTTTGTGTTCATAGATTAATGTGGTGTGTTTTAGAAAAGAAATGAGTCATCAATTAATTTATCGGTATGATAAAGGATGTGTGATGAAATATGTCTACAGTTTAACAACTGTGGGAGAAACACGTTGGTTTCCAATTACTTAGGCATACATCTAGGATTATCATTGAGCCCACACATCTGTCTAATTATCTATGAACTAACAAAATACACTTAGGATGAGCTTAGATGGAGTTTGCAATTTACTGATAATATTATTTTAATTGATGAAACTAAAGCAGGGATAAATGTTGAATCAAAGGTCTGGAAGATCTAGATACAATCATACAAGAGGGTTAAGGACAAGTAGGACTAAAACATAGGAAATGTAACTTTAGTAAAAACTAGAAATATGAGTGGCTGAAATGTGAAAGTTGATATGGATGTATGGCAAGATAAGAAAGGAAAAAAATGGAAACAGACACATTCACGTGGTGGTTGAAATAGTCTCCATTTTAAATAAATTGAGAAAGAATTGATGAAGATGATTTAGCCATTTGTAGCCTCATTGTATTGGATACCTATTGTGATAGTTGTGTAAGATGTACTTGTTGCAGATTGGGTTGACCACAAAAATACCCATACTAATGTAGGTGACATTTGGATTAAGCATCAGATTTTTACTGTGTCTCATTGGGTGCTGGGAACAATCCGTGGGTGGGCTAGGTTTCCTTTGAATGATGAGCCACAGTATTGCTCCTAATTCGCTCAAGTAAGCATGCATACACATATTTCCACATTTCAAGGCATTGGGTAGTTAGGTGGAGTCCTTACCTGATAGTTAAATTAAATCTCAAGTCCTCAAGTAAAAGGCCAATAACATATGTCTACCTAACGCCTATCAAAATTGTGTTTCAAGGAGTTTGGGTTTGAGTTGTTTGACAATTGTTTTGTGTTCAAACAAAAAATGGTTCTTGGTATTTAAGCCACACATCCCATTTTCATAAATCAGTTATGTGGCGTCACAATACTGGGGATGAGGTTCGTAATTGATTAGCGTAATTATGACGACTCATTCTTGAAACCGTTGCAATTTTGACTAACTCATGCTTAGTAGGAGAAAGAAAAAGGTGACTCACAAGTTACAACTTGTTTCAGGATTTGTCATTGATCTTTCTCAACTTAGGTTAATATTCTAACAATCTACATGGAGCGGATTAAAGATGCTCAGAATTAGCTAAAAGGTTAATCTCAAAATTAACATGATTGACAGTATTTTCTTTCTTCTCTACTTGTACCCGTAACCACATAGAAATATTGCTCTATCTTTTTCCATAAAATCATAGGTTGCTGTTTTGTTTGGGCTGCAAAATATCATTCTTAATTCTGCTTATTGTAGCAATATTTTATGCCTTTGTTAATCACCATTCTGTACTGATTTCTTTGAATTGTGCAGCTGTTGGACTAACCTAGATAAGATCGACAGCATAGAACAACTAGGGCAAATGGAAGATTCTCTCAGGCAATCACTTAATGAAATTAGAACACGTAAGGTATGTTTTTCATTTTTGTGGTAGTTGAGATTTAACAAAATTTAGGTAATATGCAAAATTTGCATTTACTTGTTGCTCACTTTTATTCTACTAAAGTAATTGTGGTGATTGCATCCGATTACTAATTACCAAATTGGCCTGTGCCCAATTAAGTAGGGTATGCCTCCAAGGTTTAGACTTCACTAATGAAGTTAAATACTTGATCAGGATCCATGTTGGACAAACAAGAATGAGGCACATTGGAAATTGTTTTCATACTGAGTCTGGTTTGAATGAAAAAAAAAAATCATAATGGATTCTGATTATTTATTTTCCTTGAGAATTAGTAGAAGAATAGTGGATCACTTAAAAGACAGTATAGCGTCCATGTTGAACACTATGCTACATAAGATCAACATTTCGCTCTGGATTATAATAAGTAATTTGATAAATCCGACATTTAGACACTCGGATACCCAATCACACACTTAAGAGTCCATGTGTATAAGTAAATCTAGAGACTGAAGCATAGTACCCTAATTCAAAGAGGTCCCTTTCTAATTGCAGAGTCAGAAACTAACAATTTGAAAGTATTTCCCTAAGGCCTAATCTAATCTTAACACAGCAGTTGAAATATTAATCCATACTTAAAAGTACGGTGCATCACAGTTCAGAACCTCATGTGTTTATAATTTATCTTCAAAGCTCTATCTACTTTGTTATGGAAAAATCATCAAGTAACTATTTTTGGCAGGAAAATTTTGGAAAGCAGCCAATTCTGTCTCTAGGATGCACAAATCAGGTGATGAACTTGCTTAACTGGCGCAAGAATATGCTCTCAGTTGGGTTCCCGCAATGTTCTTGGGACTTCCTTTTTTAATCAAAATCAGTTCTATCTTGCAGTTCCAAAATGGGATCCACTTGGGTCATGAGCAGCAGATCCAACCTTTGTCATGGATTCCTAATGATGATAGTCAACAAATGGTTTTAGCCAAGGACACAGGCCTCTTTCCCAAAAGGTGAGTGAGTATTATATTAGGTGTCATATACCTAATATTTAAAGTCATTCTCTCTTTAGAGGTCATTATAAAAATATGTCTTGACCCATGTATAGAGGATGAAACCCTTTTCTCATGAGTGGCATCAAAAGAACAAGAGATGGTTGTGTCTTTTAGTATATAACAGGTTAAGAATTCTCATGGAGCATCAGTAACACTTTTATCAACCTATTTGGTGCTTTTGCCAAAACTAGATTTATAATTCCTTCTTCAAAAACCCGCTCCCAACATATTGTTTTTTGTCCTTCTTCCTGTAGGGATATGGATTGCTCCGCTGGTACTTCCTATGGTGGCTATTCTGGTTACTTTGGCAATGGTGAAAAGGTAGAGATTGCTAGCACTGGACAAGAGAATGGCTTCCTGGATGAGTTGATCAAAACTGAAGCTTTGAGGCTACAAATGTATGCACAATATCCTTACCCACCACACAATTTCAGCTTCCTTTCTGATAAGAAATTCGAACCAGCACAACAGCTGAACCTGCAAGAAAATACCGAGGATTATCGCTTCGATGGAAACTTTGAACCTCCTCGTCAATTTGGGTTTGACACAACCCTTCATAATTCAGCTTCTATATCGGAACCTTGTTCTGTTCCTCTGCTTGATGAGCGTTTATACCCTCAGGTAGGTTTTTTCATCCATCCCGTGTTATTTTTTGTGATAGGGTTTAATCATGTCTGATATCTTTAACTTGTATGCCTGTCTCTTGCAGCAACACTGTACATCACACAACCAAGTCGCCAACGAACTTGGTTATATGCATGTGCAAGCTACTCATCATCAGCCCAACTTAACAAACTGATGTTGCAATGGTTTTCTTAACCATGCAATTTTAGGGGTTGGTCCGGGTGGGGGATATGCACATCATAACTGCAAGGCTCGAAAGCTTGAATGACGGTTGATGATGCCGCCAGAAGGAATGGAGCCGACTTGCTCAGATGAAGCCCAATTTTGTGACATTGAGCCCCCTCTGTATACTATCAGTTGTAAAGTATATCTATAAAAAGCCTCTTCATTTTGGTGCACATCAGTAATGGCGGGAGAAATTGTCGTCCCCCCGTTGCACTTGATAATTCAAGCTGTAAGTTAAAAAATACATACAGTTGGAAAACTTGATTCAGAATCACACATGTTAATACAGTTTCAGAAGGAAGAGAGTTTGGGAGAGCATGGAAAGCTTGATTCAGAATCACTCGTTATTAGGTTATAAATATTGTATTTGTTTGTCACAATTCAGAACTTGCTTGTACAGTATAACTGTGACTCTGATGGAGGATTGGGATGGTGAGTAGGTCACACAATTAATTATTATTATTAAATTTTTTTAAAGTTAAAATAAACACTAACCGATGTGTCATATCACGTTACGTTTTTAGTGGAACTCGAACTCTAAACCTCTTCTTTGAAAAATACCATATCATTCAGGATAAAGGCCCGGTTGTTTATGAAAAAAATAAATTAGAAAATCACTAAATATGGGTAATATTTGTTGGTGGAATCTAGCAATAGATTTTTTATTTATTTTTTATTATTATTTTTGACTTATTAAAACTATTTTTTGTTGTTTTAGAAGATTATGAACCTTCATGCAATCCACTGAAAATGACAAAAATCTTAGTGAGAGACAATGAAACATTGAAATGAAATGTCTTCTTTTACTATGAAGCCAGCACACCAGGCACTGCAAGACAAAGTACAACAGACAAATAATTTCTTGAGTTAACTATATATATATAGTACACAACTTAGTTGCACATACTGCTTTGTAAGACTAAATATTTAATTTTAGGAGAACACTATAAACAAGCTTTCAAGTTTATTCCAAAAGCTTATTGGAATCACCACTCATGAATGATGGTCTTTTGGTTCAACTCCAAAAAAAAATAAAAAAATAAAAAATAAAAAATAAAATCAAGGTTTAATTTGAGAGAAGGTGATATGTATGATAGAGTTTAGAATCTCATTGAGAATTAAATGCAGTCACCATCTATAGAAACACTGACAAAATGAGCATTCAACAGGCATGTGGGATAGGAGACAAATAGTTCAATTTTAATTTTCAAACAATTGTCATAAAGTTGATAATTAAAGAATTTGTTGAATTTTTCTTGATTGTGACACAAGTTGGTTTACGTCCGGAATAGGAACACCTTCATATGCACCATACCAGTTTTGCCCAATTGACATTTGTGTGTACCAGAAATCTAGTAAGTGCCCCATTTGATATGGTTATATTTTAGTTGAAGTATTAAATTTCAGTAGTGGACCTAATTGTTGCACCCTTTCATTGAGAAGTTCAAGTCCACCAAAATCAATACGATTTAATGATTCTGGTATTTTAAATATTTGATTAATACATACATATATATTCACTTTTTTTTTTTTTTTTTTTTTTTTTTTTTTTTTTTTGTGTAATTAATCTTCTATTAGTGGAAATGAACAAGAAAATTTTGAATTATTTTGCTTGTATTCAAACTTGTTTTATAACACTTGTACCTCTCTTAGGAGAGAATTTGGAAAGTTCAACCACCGTAGAGATATTCGGGCAAATTATACTGACTTTCTCCCGAATTTTCGTCAATATATATTGACCTCTCTTTATTTGACAAATTACACTAACCTCCTTTGTCAGATTTGTTTTGTTTTTAATTACGTTTTCGTCCTTATATAAAGATATATATATATATATTGTATTTTATTGCAATAAACATGTCCTCAAAAGATATAATTGGAATTTGACAGTTACAAAATTGCTAACATAAACATTTTTTTGTTGTTGACCATTAACAAAGGGGAGTATATGTTATTTATATACAAATTTCAAGGTAGATAAGTATAATTTGACAAATAAGGAAGGAAGTCAATGGATATTGACGAAACTTCAAAGAAGGTTAGTGTAATTTACCCTTTAAAATATTGCATCTAGCAAGCCTCGAGCACTCGACATAGATCATACTCGAGTTGGGCTTGAATTTTAAGAAATTTACATCTTTGAGATGGGCACTGTCTGAACCAGGCTTTCATGAAAATGTTTCTAGGCCCAAGATTAGCCCAATGAAACCCTTCTAGTTTTGTTGAAACATTTGATGTTATGTAAATCAATCATTGAAGTAGTAGTAAGAAATGAGTAGCAAATATAGTAATAAATAAGCAATCACTTCTCATTACTACTGAAATCGAATCTACAAATTTATAGTCTCATACACAAACCAAACACAACAAACTAAGGACAACATCTTCAGCAGAGAAGATGAATACAGTGACCTTACAAGCACCAAAAACAACAGAAAGGTCCCCAAATGAAAGTAAAAACACCACTAATTACTACTTGGCGGGTGGTAAAAGTCCACCACCTCTGCCACCAATCCTCTGCCTTACAACAGTAGGAAGAAAGAAGGCCTCAAGAATGAAGGGTAGGATACCCTGCAATCAACTAAAAATGAGAGGGGCCATTCAAAATAAGCCCACTTCTCATTTTTGACCCTAGAGGCCAAATTTGACTATATATGGAGTACTACATATTTATATATCTATATATCTATATATATATATAATCTCTACCATACTAAAGAGTCTCATTAATACAAATACTAGCAAACCCTAGCTTAAATAAAGGGTCCTCTAGCGAAACTGTCTTCCACTGAAGGTCTGACCAAAGGACCAGCTAGCTGGGGCAACGTTGTAGGACACCACAGTGCGACCATCACTGGTGGTGACCTTAAATGAGAGGGTCTGTCCGTTGAGTAGGTTGTTGCTCTGCCAGTTTTGGCCCCAGTTCCTTGACATTGGCTGCCAACCAGTCCTTGACCCTTTGATGGCCACAGCATGGACATCCCCAGCACCACCAACATTAGTTATGAGGACCAAGTTGAAGTAGGAGTGCCCATTGATAGTGAACCTTATGCCTCCCCTCCTCCTGCAGGGTACCCTACAAAAATCCCAAGTAAAAAAAATCAATTATTCACTGTCCCTTAAAAATATAAAGTAATCTACAAGGGTACCCCTTTTAAGAGTCCAAAATGAATTTCAAGTTGAAATTTATTTACTCGTGTAGGGGGGACCCTAGCAAGTAGAGAAATTAAACAAAGTAAAAATTACACAACCATGGAGTTTTGTGGTCCATTTTACAGTCACATGGAGTTAAAAGTCATGAAATTTCAGAAAAATGGTTTCCCTTAAAACAAAGGGAACTTTGCTGTTTTGCTTTAACTTTAACTTGAATTTTAAAGGGTACCCAACCCTCCAAAAGCTCAAACAGGAGAGACCATGGTTCAAAGTTTTGGAAACACGCACACACACAGCCATTTTGTGACACAATTAAGGTGACATTTAGCATACCTTCTGTAAGAAACAGGGACAATACCAGCTTTGTATTGGGCAATTCGTTGGAAGACAGGTTGGGAGAGGTCAAAGTGTTGCTGGGGAGGGTTACACCAGCCTCCAGCATTGTTAGGGAGGGCATTGTTTGGTGGGCAGAAATTGGTGGCTGTGACCACAATGGAGCCAGGCAGGCACCATTTACCATCATTCACACACCTAATCTCATAGCAAGACCCGCAGCTCAACCCACTGTTGAACAGAGCTGTGCTCAGAGCTGCTGTGTTTGTTCCATAACCCTGACTATACAAATTTCCATACCCACATGCCCCACCTGCCAAAAATACGGAGAATCAAAATCAGCTCAATGGATCTTCTCCACCAAAAAAACACACACACACATGCAAAAAAACAGAGTAAATTTGCATACCCATTGTCCCAGAGGCATCACCGCCGCCATAGAAGGTGGCATGAGCATTGGTCCACCCTCCATAGCCATGGACAAGTGAAGCCATGGAGAGAAAACCCACCAAGAAAAAACCAAGAAGAGCCATTTTCCTGCACAAACAAGCGTTTTTTTTTTTAGAATTTTTTCTTCAACCCCTTAACTACAAATACATTATTCTATAAAAACCTAGAGAGAGAGGATGGTTAATTACATTGAGAATTGAGCTTGAAACAAAGAGATGGAGAGAGAAAATGAGGAGAGGGAGGGGGAGATGAGTGAAGAAAATGGGGAGGGGTGAGGGGGATTAAATAGAAGTTAGGAGGGAGAGGGGGAAGGGTAGGTCTTTTTGAGCTACACAGTAACAACTAACTGACACTTTTTGGGGGGTGTTGGGAAAAAAAACCGGTTAGGGTTTTAATGGTCAGGTTGGGTGAAATTGAAAAACAAAAAGCACACACACCACACCACAATAGGGAGTGAATTTATTTATTTTTTATTTTTATTTTTTTTTTGTGGGTTCAAAGTTTGAAACTGTATATGGCTTTTTGGAGGTTTCCTGGTGGGAAAATCCCCCCAAATCCAAGTGGGGTCCACTGGGTTTTGCTATCTGGTTTAAACAGTCCCTTACATGCGCACATGCAAGCAACGACTATTTGCCGCAAATACCCCTTCTCTCTCTCTCTCTCTCTCTCTCTACTTTTTCTATACAACTTTTTCTATACATGGAGTAATATTTGTATTTTATGGACTTTACTTTTCTTTGGAATGCTATTTGAAGATTCCCAAAAGGATTGGCTGATGGGTTTTATTTCTTTTGTGTACTAGTTAATGTGTGTTTAAATTACTTTGGGTATTATGTGAATTTTACATTTATTAGATGTTCTCACACTGGCTAAAAGCTGTTAATTTGAGATTCAATTAGCAAGTACCACAACTGCCCAATATTTGTGTGGTAGGGAAGAGAAATGAAAGAATATAACTGCCATATATATATATATATATATATATATATATATATATATTTTCTGATTCCATTACTTATTATACACACCATCACTTGATATGTACACGTGTGAATGGTATGTGCTTGCCTGCATGGGATCAAATGTAATATTCAATTTTATAATGTACTCCTATATATTACTCTAAAATAGAAAGCAATGATATTCACGATCAAGAATTTGAACGAAATGAAGAATCGGTGACTAAAAATAGGAAGCAATAATGTTGACAACAAAGAATTTGAATGAAATGAAGAGTTGGTGACTCCTTGTTTAATGAATACACACACAATTAAATCACACATCAATAATTGAAACGCAATGGGAAGGCGAAGGCTCCCACTTATTGACTATACACAATTGGATCCACGACACCCCTAGTTAAGCATACGGAGAGTGGGCTCTCCATTTCATTTAATCTTTTATTATATTTGTTTAGAAGAGAAGTTATATCACGTTGTTTATATGATCACCTAATGAAAATATACCATTTAATAAAGATAGTCTCACTTATTTATGAAAATAACTATAAAATTTTAAATATTCCCGAGACTTATCCGGCTAATCACCATTAAACCTACACGTAAAAAGCTGAAAAAAAATATATATAAAAAACTTAACACATTTTCGACACAATATTTACGTATCTAATGATGAATGGCCTATACTCTTAAGTAACTAATATAATGAATACCTACTTTGTTTAGAGATGAACTCCGTATTTGCATTTTTTTTTTACTTCCAAAATACAGGGCATCATTAGGTAATAAATTTTAATGATTAAAATTTGATAAGCAATTGACAAATTACATTTATATATATATATATATATATATATAGCTTACCTCCATTATATTTTAGATGGCAATTCTCTGTGACTACTGCCTAGCAATACAGTATGGAATTTAAGTCTTGTTTTTTCTCTCATCCGCATTGTACTAGTGATGGCTCTGCAGTTTATTAGGACTTTGGTAGAAGTGAACGAATTTAATACGAAATCTTTTCTGGTAAACGAATTAAATAAAGATCTTTGCGCATTGACTAACATTTTCTCTTGTGTAGAAAAAAGTACTCAATTCCCTTCATTGAATACAATATGAGAAGTTGCAGAAGACAACTAACCACACCAACTCCTCTTATATGTCCAAGTGAAACATACAGAAACTAGACAATACCTGCACATGGGTGATGATAATGGTGATCATACCATTTTAATTTAGAAAAATGAAGATATCATTTATTTCTACCAAACTTTTTTCACTTCACCAACCAATTTATTATTTGCATCAATACAAATATTATTTATATATATATTCTATTCGTTCCAAAATAAGTGTAATATTTTAGAAATTATGATCGTGAGTCACAATTTCCAAAACGTGAGTCACAGTTCTTAAAACATATATTATAGATAACACTTATTTTGAGACGGAGGGAATATATATTATAGATATATGAGTTACTTGACTGAATGACTTTTTATTTTATTTTATTTTTTATTTATTTTTTTTTTATGGGCTAAAATCTGAAAACCCCTTGTTATTTATTGAAACTATCTACTAACCCCTTTGAGTATAAAAAAAACCCCTGATATAATATAAATTATTACATTGCCCCCATTCCGTCATAGAACCGTTAAATGCATGCAAAATGACAAGAATATCCTTGATAGTATATTAATATTTATTTAAATAAATTATAGTAATTATATATACAATTATAGTAATTATAATTATAATTACTATAATTATATATATTGGTATCAGAGCCATTTGTTGGTGGTTGATCTAGTTAATCTATTCATATTACTTGTCTCTTTCTAATCTTTTTGTCTCAGTTATAGCATCCTATTAATTTATTCTCATCTTGTTGTACTCTATCTTCTTCTTGCGAGTCTAGATCCAAACAGTAAGTCCTAGATCCAAACAGTAAGACCCAAGGAAGGGCCTGAGCGATGCGACATGAGCGAATGAGCGCGTGGATAGGATATAAATACCACTTTGAGATAATCATGACCATAGTATGTTTCAACCAGCCAAAGAGATTAGTTTGAGTCCATCAATAATGAATAGGTTATTTAGACCTTCCTCTTCAGTAAGCTCTAGATCCAGAGCTAGTACTAGTCTATCTCCTCCAATTCCAAAAATAGTAAATGAAGAAGAATATCGAATTGAAGATACTAATTAGACTTTAGTGATTGGAATATTCCTAGAGTTCTAACCAGAGAATTTTACAAAACCAGTTTCCTTAAGTTTACCTTTCTTAGTGATTACATAGTCAGGACAGTTGAACAAATTTATTCCCTATCTAGAGAACATGAAAAATGTCAGTTACTCACAGCTAAGTCAATCCAAAGTCATAGAGATCGTGGATATAACTTCATCCATATAGGTCTAGTTCAAGTAGCAGTCAAACCATTTACCAATACAGGACTTAATGCCTCTGTGTTTCTAGCCCTCCGTGATGCTAGGTTTATTGACTATGAAACTAGTCTCCTAGGAATAGTTGAAACTAGTCTTTATAACGGCCCAGTTCATTTTAATTGTTACCCAGATCTAATTCTTAGTTTAAGTGACCCTCATCTATTGAAAGCCTTAACCCTTAATGTTAAAACATCATGTTATCTTCTGCTTCCAGGATCACAACCTTTAGGTTTGATCTATAGGATTTATTATAAAACAAGGAAAACTAATCTTAATGTCAAAGCCATTAAGAAAGATATAAAAGGTCATACCCTACTGATTGAGAGCAGTACCCCTGACGCTAATATTCAAATAAAGAAAACTATTGCTTGGAAAGATATTTCACTGCCCAATGAATGGACTCTTGAGAATGAGAATCACCCAGTCAAAATAAATAATGATATTAGTAATCTTAATAGAGTGCAGGAATTTCTTGACGGAACAGTCAGAATAAGCTTTGATGAACAACGCCTTCTGAATCGCTCACGTCCTTCTACTTCCTTTGATAGACCAGAAGGTAGTTTATTAGACAAGGAAAGTGAAGTTCCTACTCTAGATAGGAAAAATTCTCGTTTTCATCCCCAACCAAAAGATACTAAGTTAAAAGGTATTCAAATAGAAGAACAAGTTACTGACCCTTGTTATGTTACTCCCCAATCTAACAAATCTAGGTCTACACCTACCTCTCCTACACCTTCTGATTTTATTGCAAACCTTAATGCACTAAACCCTCAGTTAAATACTATTAGTAAACATTTTAAGTATAATCTTTCAAAATTACATGATGACTACTCATCCCCAAGTAACAAAGAAAAGCGAAAATCTTTTCACAAAACCGACACTGAAAAAGAACAAAATAAGATTCTCCATCATTGGCAAACATTTATGATAGAACACCAGCTAGAAATCACATTTTTTGATTATCTAGAAAACTGTCATAACAAAGTCAATGTTCTAACTAAAGTTAATTGGAAAACCTCAGATACAACAACAATTTCCTCTTCCCATCCTCCCCTGAAAAATGTGATTCTTGATCACATAGGAGCTGAAATCATTGCCTCTCCCTTAAAAGTCAGTACCACAGCTGATGCTGATGCAAGAAAAATAATTGAACAAAATAACTTCACTAACCAGTATTTACACACTCTTGGCACCTAATTAGACAAAATTGAGCTCTCATTAGCCCAACCTCATAATCTTCCAGTAAAAACTCCTACTACTTCTTCCATGGAAACACCCATTATTTCTATGCCTACATATAGAAAAGGTCTTCCAGCAGCCTTGCAGATCCTTCTGTTATCCTCCAAATTGAAACCATCCTCAAAACCCTCGAAAAAGGTAAATCCCAAGTCAAAGACAAAAAAATTATCACTGTAATCAATAATACTGACAATTCTGATAGTTTCTCCTCTGATAATTCTAGTTACCCCTCTGACATCCAGAAGATTGAGAATGCTTTCTCTAACCTGGAACTCAATCGTTTAACTAATAAACGTGTCAACCCCACTAGTCTTAATAAAAATTGGTACCCAAGACCGATGCCTCCTGATCTCTAATATGAAGAACGAAATATCCAAAATCAATTCTCCATTTCTTCAAATAAACTTTATGAATGGAATATAGATGGTTTATCTGAACAGAAAATTCTTAATAAACTCAGTCATATATCCATGGTAGCTAACAATTATGTTACTTTACATAACCTTGGTCAACCGGAAATAGTTGATTTACTTACTTCAGGATTTTCAGGAATATTAAAATCATGGTGGGAAAAACATCTCACTGAAGATTCTCGTGACAAGATAAAAAATGTTGTCCAA